AGGAAGATATAATCCACAGGTATGGAGGAGACAAAGTCCACCACGAACCAGCTCTTCAGGTACTTCTTCTTGATCTTCTTGGGGTCGAGGATGATCTCCGTGTTGTCCTCGAACACGATGCCAGTCCTGAAGTTGAGCACCAGGTCCATGAGGAAGAAGGTGTCGGACACCACGTTGAAGATGATCCACGGCGTCGTGGTCTCGTCCTTGAAGAAGGTGATGCCCACGGGGATGATGATCAGGTTGCCCACCATGAACATCAGCATGGTGAAGTCCCAGTAGAACCTGGCAGGATGGAAGCGAAAGACATGATTAGAGACGGAGATGGTTGAATCCCTTAAAAATGCACTAAAACACACAAACAAGGGACTGTGAGGAGTCATGTGCACACAATCCAACTCCAAAATCAGACAATAACACAATAAAACAGGCAACATCTGAGCCCCAAATAGCAAACTGTAAAAAGTGAACCACTGGTGTCTAGACGCTCACAGTAGAGCTGTTTGCGATGGATATCACATGCCAGGAAAGCTGCTGATTCTGCTTGATTTGTGACAAGTGGAGATCCTAGCTTCCTCTGTGCTGCGAAGAAATGCACTCTCATGGGCCACACACACACACTCAGAAAACAGCAGCACCCTTTATAAAATGTTTGATTTTTCTTTTCAACCTAAGTCAACCTACACCGTCAGGGTCGAGACTGGGTCGGACAAAACAAGGACAAAATTGCTGAATTCGTTCCAAATCAAGACTCAGGCACCTCAAATTTTCAACAAAGGGCGACACAATCAGCAAGTCATCAAGGCTGCAGCTTTGTGCTCCATCATCAAACCCCCAGCAGTGAGTTGTTTTGACATTTATTTGTCCAAAACAGCCCAAATCAGCCAATCAGTCCACAATACAGACAGCTGAATTATAAGGGCGGCACCTATGTGTTTAAAGCTGAAGCCTTCCAAATCAACTGTCCAATCCATTAACAAATAGAAGAAAGCTTCAAAACTAAAGTAAATCAACATAAAGTACAATTATGACCCTTTCTGACAATGCAGAAGCTTTGTAAAAGTACAATTTATGGCAGATTTGTTGCATTGGATTGACTTAGATTTCACAAGTGAACCTAAAAAAGTGGAAGGTGATGGTACATGCAAGTAATTATAAACAGATCAATTGAATTATTTTTAAAGCAAATACTCCCCTTCACTGTAAAACTCTCTACTTTCTTCATCTTATATGATTTTGAACTCCATATCTCAAGGTTTTAGATCATCGGTCAGACAAAATAAAGTATTTTGGAATGTAATTGTGGCCAAATTTGAGGGTTTTTTTTCACTATTTTGTTATATTTTTCAAACCAAACCATCAATAACTGGCAGGGTAATCATTTGTCACCGTCCCCCCAGTGAGCCTGAGACACACACACTGCTGTCTGATCAGCTGAAAGTAAGCCGGGGGGGGGGAAAGTGACGGAAGTGCCGTGCTGAGTCATGACTTGAATCCTCTGTTTCAGAAAATGTCCTACTGTTAAGCGTCGTCTGTCACTTCACAGAATAATGATAATAATAATAAAAATAAAACACTGATAAATAATCAACAGAATGGTATTTTGATGAAAGACATCCCAGTAAGTAGCCACTGGTTTAAATAATGAGAGGAGAGGAGCTGTCCTCGGTGCTGAAAATCTACTTTTCAACTTCACAAAGGCTTTTTTTGTCACACTGCAGCACATTTAACTCCAGTAAGGAGGATTTCTGTGGACAGTTTTTTAAAAAGTGGTCTACAATAGAACCCATATGTCCCTTTGTCCCTTAAATGGGGAGTGCTGTCTCTCTGTCCTTTAAACATTCTGTATTTTGAATAAAAAAGTAATTTTGTCTTCATACTTTTAACTCAAGTTTCCTTAAAGTCAGTGCCATGTGCATTGTTATCTCTATTTATCATATATTTATGTTGTTTTTTATTGTATTCATAGCTGAGGTGCTTCTGTTCCTCCTCATGTAAAGCTGTTGGACTTGGAGAGGAGAACACATTTCTCATTCTCTTTATCTCCCCTTACAGCCCGCACAGTTCATGAACCTAACTCAATTTGACCCATACCTGAAGTCGCTGTATGGGTGGATAATCCAATTACCCGCTGACTTTACGCGCTCTTGTTCCTTCTCCACCGCCTTCTGGCTGCCAAACATGCGCAGGGAGAACTTGTTAACTCCGGGCTGCAGCATGGCACTAAACTGGCGCTGCATGTACGTCTGGTTGTTCCTGGAGTCTCCATCATCCGGCACTATCTGAGATCCGTCCTCCGCTTTGGAGAAAGTGACAGAATTTCTCGACTGCTGACTCGGAGTCTGTCCTTTACTAGTAGGGGCGTTGGAGAAGGAAACTCTGGAGTCCTTCTTCTCCATCCCTGCCACGGTCTTGACCTCGGGCCCCGCTGAAGTGACAGAGCCGTCCATGCTTGCGATCTTGCCGTCTTCGGCCGCCGCTACTCCATCCGGCTGCTTCTCCTGCCTGGAGATGAGAGAGGAGAGGCTCCCTGAACTGGCCGGGTCCCTTCTACAGTCTCCGTTTTTGTTGCATATCATGCCGATGGCCCCCTCTGCTGCGTCCCCTCTGCGCTCGGACTCTGAGCCGCTTCGGCCGCCGGCAGCCTCCCTCTGGCACAACAGGGCAGAGGCAGCGCTGCCACTGGCACTGAGAGGCGCGCAGTCCTCGTCTTGCAGGAGCCACAGCTCATTGTTGTTGGAGTTTTTGCGCGCAATGGACGCGGCTCCGCCTCCTGGCGTAAATTTCTTCATCTCGGATCCTCCGCTGTTCCCATGATCCTCGCAACCGGTCAAGCTGGATACTGGAGGCGGTGGAGGCTGCAGGAATTTGGGCTCCTCCTCGCCGTCCTCCGCCTCGTCCATGACACTGGCAGACAAAGACAGACGCACGGACACTCCCGTACCTTGAACCTGGGCGAGACTGGGGCGGCGGCGCAGGAAGGAGTTCAAAGCAGCAACAGCCTTCTGCTTTCCATCCACATCACTTTAGGATAAACAGCGCGCCGGTGCCGTTGCTATGGCTGCAACCTGGATGCTGTCATTGTGTGTGTGTGTGGAAGGGGGGGGGGGGAGAGAGACATCATCACCATCACCAGTAAACTACAGGTGGAGGAACATTTGCCCACAAAAAAGAAATGTTCCCCACTCAGGACGCACCCAACCTGACAGTGTAATGACACAAAAACTAGAATAAATACACAATTAAACACACCCATTAACTCACCTGCAGGGTTCAGGTGACAAATGAAGGTCACAAGAGATCAAGTTCTGCTTCTTTTTGCCTCCATTGTTCATCTGAGCAGCTATGAATGAAAGTACCTCCTGCTGCAATAATCACACGATCAATAATTAGAATATTAGGTCTATCCAGGATTTTTTAAACTAGACTGGGAGGCTAGCAACAGCGTCCGCCTGTTGCTTCAGTTTGCTGGTAGCTTTCCAAAATGTTCGAGGCTCTCTTGGTCAAATGGCGCCACCTTGTGGAGAAATATGCAGACTGCACAACCTCAAACGTGCATAAAATGTTTCACCTCTGATCCAAGAGGCTTCTTCAGCTAACTGATAAGATCTCAGATATGTATTTTGTCACCCCCAACAGGAGTAATAGTTCATTTAAGACCCAAAACTCAGATTTGGATGAGAGTTGAAGCATCTTCAAAACCATGAAGAGAAGTCCAGTTGTTAACCTGAGCTTAGAAAGTTCCCCAACTGTCTTAACAATGTGAGTTAACTCTACTTAAGCTGATTAATAAGTCATTTATACAGTGTAAGTGTAAAATTAGCAGAGTTAAATTAGTTAAATTGGCTGAACTAAGAAAACAAGTTGGATGAACTCAAGATTTTAAGTTGTATCAACTACAGAAGTTTCTTTTCATTTAACTACAAAAACTTTTAGTCACAGCTGTTGAAGCCAATTTAACAAAACTGTGAAGCTGCACCTTGTTACAGTAAAATGAAAGAAAATCAGTTGAACTCAACGGTTTCCTTTATTATTATTATGAATTAATAAAAACAATCAGAACTTAATTCAACAAAGAAACAGCTAATTTCCAGCACGTCCATTTTCTCAAACTACAAAAAATTCAGTCTCTGGCGTTTTAACTCTTTTCCAATAGTGTCCTGAGAAATCTGCTAAAAAGTTAGATGTGTTTCTTAGAAACTTATTTTAATGAACTGGGTGAACTCTCAGCTGTTTATTCAGTCAACTCATTTTAAGTCAAATTTGCTCAAGTTAAAGAACTTTTTTTTGTTTTTTTTAGTTCTAATGTGGTTTGAATATATTTTAAGTTCAATTTAATAGAAATGGGCCAAAAATGTATATTTATGTTAGATAAACTCAGTGACCCAGACAGTCGTAAAACCTTTTTTGTTGTTGTTGTCATTAGGATGTAGGACGCAAACCCATCCATCCATCCATTATCTATACACCGCTTAATCCTCACTGGGGTTGTAGGGGGGCTGGAGTCTATCCCAGCCGACTTAGGGTGAAGGCAGGGGACACCCTGGACAGGTTGTCAGTCTATCACAGGGCTACGACGCAAACCCAAACTTTTTTTTTTTGTTACTAATAGAACATCAGTCTGTTAGGGTTTTTTGTTTATTTAAAGATGAAATTCACTACTGCAAGTGATGCAAATTATTGTTTGTTTAAACCCACTGTAATGAGGAAACTATTAAAAACCCATGAGAAATTGTATCTAAAAACATTTGTAATTAGACGTCTTCAGAGTTTTTTTTTTTAATATCAAAGAGGTCTTTTACAGGACAACTGCTCTGCATTCTTGTCATTTACAATTCATTAGGATCTGGCTTGAGATTAAACACACTCCTTGTTTAAATACTTTTTTTTCCCCTTCATGAATCACAGGAGTGAACACTTTTAGAAAAGGCGTCTTCTGTATCGTGACTATTCTAAATGATCCACACATCTGCGTGAAAGTTGAAGAAGCAAAACACACGTAAATTTCAATACCTTTATTCAGCTTGTGGAAGTTGTACAAGAGATGGTGTTCCGTGTACGTGGACGGTACAACTATTTACACAATTCTGGCTAGGTCTTTAATTTGTGTAATTCTGAAATGGTAACATCCAGTCACAACACTATTCAGGTTAAATGGAACATATGGCTTCTGAATAATCTACACAGTGAAGGAACAGAGACAATCGCACACACATTTCAGATCACTTTGAAAAAAAAAATAAAAATAAAAATAAAAACATCCATGATTATCTGCAGTTTTAAACATCAGTGCGCTGTATTAAAAGTTGCATTCAACAGAAGCAACGGTTGCATCTCTAGCACTTGGTCCTTAAGAGATTTTTTTTTTTTTCTTACTGTGGATGTGAAATCAGCAACACAAGCATTGGTGACTAAAACTTCCATGTTACAACATGTGAATAGTTAAAGGAAATAAAAGATTATTCTAATAAAAAGTTTCTTAATTAAAAACTAATTTCTTATGGCAAGAAAACTTATCTTTGATCCTGGTCGTTTCTAGGGTTGGGTATCGCTTGTATTCTAATGATTCTGCTTATTTATTTATTCTGGTTCTTCACTATTCCGATTCTTTGAGGGGCAGATTAGGGTGACTGCACATCACTTTAAGAGCAATAAATTAATAATAGAATTTAGTGCATAATAGAATTTAGTGTATAATAGTAGTGAACAGTCACAGGAGACCTTTCTGGGGCAGATGGACGGCGGTAGATACGCAGTACATCATTTATAAAGCAGTGTGAGTGAAAGCTGTTTAGGAACCATTAAGCAGAATAGAAATGAAACTTTCTTCATGGAGCTGTGACTCGATGCCCAACACTAGTCGTTTCTGCATTGTGTCAAATCTTGTAACAGGTAGCAAAATGCAAAAAAAGACAAAAAGAAAAAATGGTGCTTGTTAAGGCAAAGTATAGAACTCTGCTAAGGGAGGTTCATGGTGGTGTGGGGGACAGATCAAAAAATGTGAATTCAAACGCACTCCTGTCTTTGCTGTCAGAATGGCAGTGGTGTATCTGGATCTAAAAAAAAAAAACGCTTCAGATCCTCTAAAACAGATCTTGTGCTGCTTTACAAGTAACCATTCCCGATCTGAGAAAAAGACTTGACAAACTGTGAGGTCAGTGTAGGAAGCATCTGCATTAACGGAACAGAATCACAAACTAAGCATTCCTCACGTGAACGGTAATGATTTTACAACAAACACACACACTTGGCTAGAACGGCATTTAAACTCATGCAATATTTGCCCCGCGGCCTCAAGCAGAAAGTATTTCACACTATGTTCTCTGGCTGCACAATGTGGAGAAGAATATAGAAGAAAACCAAAACAGGAGGAAATCATTTTTCTTGAAACATTAACACCCAAGCACAGAAAGGTACTTAAAATTGCAGGGTGCACAGTATAATGTGCCACACAACCGCTGAATCCTGGACCGCCATCTGGACGTCCATCTAGAAAAGAATGAAAAAAAAACACAAGTGAGAAGCAATACTTGTGAAAACTTCTCTTTTTTTCCTCTATATGAAATAAATCAAACATGCACAGTTTTGACAGCTTTATTCCCCAGTGGACATTTTTTTTGTACAAACCTCGTTCAGCTTCTAATTAGAGTTTCTTTGCCTCACATTCTTGTCTTTGTGGTTTGCAGTAGAATTGCTCTTCCTGAAACACATTGCACAACATGAGCTCTGTGACAAAATCCACAGTGACGATAAAAGCAGTAAGCTGCAGACTGTACTTACAGAGGAGCAGATCCTGAGTCGTCATCTGAACAGCAGCAAATGATCGGTGAACAAAAAGGGGAAAAACAAAATAGAGTTAGTTAACAGCAGAGTTATCGTCTGAGATTGGTGTAAGAAACACATGCCAACCCCCTTTGCCCACAGATGATGGTAGCAAATGTTATAACATGACAACCTCTGTAAAATGATTGCAATGAAGTTATGACCCAATCCAGCTAAAGATGAACAGAAGCATGCCCACCTGTTGCATTTCTGATGGCTGATATAACACAATCCTTAGAAAAACCATTTATCAAGCAATACCACACACAATCATCTAGAAAAGTTGCCCTTTAAACACTATGCTGCTTTAGCAAATCGATAACATTTTAAAACATTTTCATCTGCACTATGCTGCGTCACCCCGTAGCATCACAGAGGTTCATGCAATACAAGCCAAGGACACCAAAGTAGCACTGCAGTGGCCGTATTAAAAAAAACAGTCAACAACTTTCAATTGGCAGAGCCGACAAACATCCTGGTGGCGGTATTCACACCCGAGCAAGAGCATGTATTCACAAGATAAGGCAGAAAGTAGGCCAACTCTGTGGCCACACGATGAATGAGACAAATGGTATGTGATAGACTGATATCTTAGGAAGAGGGTTGCCTGTCATTTCTCATGCATAAAGTACAAGATGCAGAAAGCATGCAGACAGATCGCTGAAACCTCTTTTCGACCTACTCCATTTCATTTCAAACCATTACGCCCGTTCAGGTGTCTCATTTGACTCTTTCATTGGCTCAAATATAGGATTTTAAGGAGCAAAACAAATGAAGTGAAAAGGAAATAACTCGGAATAAGACTCAGGGCCAGTGAAAGAGTGACCAAATCTTCGAGCACATTCATCTTAGAAGTGGTTACTATGAAAGCAGTTCATTCAGACTCCCATAGCTTTTCTCCACACGGTCATCGCAGCTCAACCACTTCAGTCTGACATGCAGTTTTGTTCACTTACCAAAATGCAAAATCAGCAGCGAACAGAGAAGTAAAAATGTAAATAATAAAATAATAGGTTTCTATCACAGATTGTTTACACAGAGGCGATAGCCGACTCCTGATCTTTACTTATATAAGCGTAAATAATGACAAAATCAAAGACAATGTTGAATGCATGCAGCTCGTCTATACATCTCCCTGAAAAGCCCCAAAGGGATCTCAGTCTCCTGAACTCGTGGCTCAGTAAACTAGGTTTGATGTGGGTTTTTTTTTTCTATTACAAGTTGAATAACTTAAAGGAGGATTCTACACAGAGGACAACAAAAATTTGAGTCGAACATTTGAGTTACTGGTTGAGAAATGGGCAAAATGTATATTGTATATTCATTTTCTGGCAGATAGTTTCACTACTAGTAATAGGAATTGGTCACGTAAAACAGCAAAAAAGTCGGTAAATTTAGTAAATCGCCAACCACTGTGACCAACTGACAAAAGTGGAAACAGCAGCGTAATTTAAAAAAGAAATCTGTGAGCACATTAAATACAGTCTGGGAAGAAGTCCAGCTGATGCCATCAACATTACATTAGTAATGTGAGGTATGATATTCAGAATTAACAGTTTTGTTAATACGTCACAGAAAAATGTAATCCCTTTTTAAACACTTTCAGTGACAAGTTATCAAAGCGGTAACAACTTCAGCCTTTGATATGTGCAAGAGAAAACTGGATTTAAAAAGAAATTGTCCATATTTTACTTGCAAATGTAGTGCCAAGACTGAGGATGCTCAACAAAGTTCAGTGGTTTTTGTAAATTGCTCCGACATCTTCATTGTGTCAACTCTGTACTCTTATGAACTCACAAAGCTAATTTCAGTCTGAACGCGGCCTAAAAGTTGGTCTAACATGTACTGGTACAGGCAACATGGCGTACGTACCGTCGTTGACCTCATCGGGCTTTCTCCTCTTCTCGTAGATGAAGATGATGGTCACGAGGATGATGACCTCAGCCACGATGCCGAGGAAGGGCCAGAGAGCGGCCAAGCGACTGCGGACGCGCAGGTGGATCTTATCGCTGCCTGTGCCGAGTTCGTTGGTTGCAGAGCAGGTGTAGTACCCGATGTCGTTCTCGATGCTCAGGTTGCTAATGGTCAGAGTGGTCTTGTTGGGGGTGCTCTTGATCTCAAATCTTTCACCAGTGCCATTGAGGATAGCCTGAGGGTGAAGTTAACGCAACAATTTAGTGACGCAAAAAACATTTTCTGGTTTCATCTTTACAGTTGGGCAGGCATGATCATTTAACACAATACTAATGTTAACATTGTCTATTTTTTTTTAAGATTATACCTAAAACATCCAATTTCAATAGTTCTTATAGTTTGTTAAAACACCAAACAAAAGGCAAACTGACTGAGGCAGCAGTAGACCTGTAGCTCCAGTGTGCTGAGAGGTAAAACAATGCTGTTGTCAAAACAAGTCTGGACACTTTGGAGAGAACAACATAACTGCTTCAGCTCCTCATCGGAAAAAGTTGCCTGACGGCATGTAAAGCGGTGGAAACATTCTAAATTGACTTGAACTGATACAGATTCTTTTCAGCTGGAATATTTGTATTCTCAGGGGGTTTGTCCTCTCCCTACCTTTTCGCAGGTATCTCTGGCACTGCTGCTGCGTGTTTCTAACCTGCCCAGTGTTTTTTGGTAAACTGTTTGTTTCCTACTGCTCATCTCATGAGGCAGATGGCCAACCACGCTGAGTCTGGTTCTGCCTGAGGCTCCTTCCTGTTACAAGGAGTTGTTTTTTTCCATGGCCAAATGCTCAGTCAATGGAGAAGTGTTGGATTTCTCTCTATGCTATTGCATGACTTGACAATGTAAAGTGCCCTGAGATAAGATATGTTGTGCTTTTGCACTACATAACTAAAACTGAATTAAAATGTTCAATTAACAATCAAAAGCCATCGCCTAATAGACACATACATTACTGTTGCCATCTTCCTCTTTGTACCAGAACCAGTCAGTGGGCAGTGGGTGGCCGTGACCCACACAGACCATCACACCTTTGTCGTTCTCGTTTCCATGCTCAGAGTGCTTGTATGCAACAACATGTGGGAGTGCTGCACAAAGGAGATAAACACATTGAAATTACAATATGAAGGATTGTGAATTAAATAAACTGCCCTGGACAGTCTTATCCTGGAACAAGAGGCAACTCAACGTAATTATAGGCACTCTAATAATGAAAATAATGATGATTGATAACACATGTAATTGAGTCACATGACTTTGTTTTTAAATATTTCTAGAATGTAAAAATTTTGTATCAAGCTAATGTCCAACTATCACATGTGAATGTTCCCTCATCTGCAGGTGACAGAGTTTGTAGAGGTATCTTACAGTTATGGATGTTCAATAGCATCTTTTCTTTAAAAAAAACAAAACAAAAAAACAACAGAGCTCCGACTACTCAGTAGTTTAGCATTCATTTGGGATACATAATCCACTGTAGATGTGGTGACTATTCATTGGTATAAACATCTGGCTCCAACAGTCAAATATAATCTACCTTTATCCACAGACAGCATAATTACTTGTCATAAAAACACAACATTTGCATCCTATGTCAGGTACAACATGGTTTAAACGACCACTGACACTAAACACTACTTTGACGTGAAATATTCATTCACTTACTTTTGACTTCGATTGCCATCTTCACTTCTGGCTCGGTAGCAAACACACATTCATACTTTCCACTGTTACTGTGGGTGATCTTATCCAAACTAGGAAAAGGGAAAAACAATTGAGGATTGTTAATTAAGAGCCGACACAAAACTCCTCAGTAATAGCAATCGGATGTATCGTTTCCCTCTGGACCTTTGCACCGAACACGTAGCAGGTGACTTGTGAACGAAGCTGGAGCCACTTAAATAATGGCGATTAGTTTACCACTTTGCTAATTAGAAACTCCACAATGCAATCCTGTTTATGTTCAATAGGTGGAGGTAAAACTGCTGGTCCACCAAAAAAATATATTTTAAAATACCTCCCCCACCAAAATCACAATCCCACCTTTGTTTGGCACTACTGTCCAGTACAGTCCTGCCTTCTCTCTCTAATGGGGAATTAAGGTCAGCCCAAGTGAGCACACTGCTAGGGGTGCTTATCCCTGCTGCCAAGACTACGGGCAAAGCTGCACGTCTGCACGCTCCATCTCTCTGCTAATCAAGAGCAGTGAATGCCTGAATGGTGCCCCTAGCTCTGCTTCTAATGGAGGCAGCCAGGGAGGGAGGGAGGGAGGGGAGAAAAGGGAGAGAGGGGGAGGGATGGCACACAAGTAAAAGGCAACGTGCAAAGAGAGAACATTAGAGGATAAAGATGGCGATATAGTGTACTAACAGAGCCAGAAATGGGCAGCAGAGTCAGAATAAAGGAAGAGGAGAGAGAAAGTCCACAGCAAGACATGCTAAGCCAACAAAGCTCTCTTATTGGCAGATTAACTGTTAAATGTCTTCTGTGCCAAAGATGCTCAGTCTCCAGTCCATGTAACACCTCAGAGTGAATCTTCTTGTATGGTTCATTCACTCAGTGGTGCCAATGTGTGAACTGCATCGTTGTACATAACGGGCCTCTCAGAAAAAAAAGCAGTGAGGAAGCACACATGTAGCAAATGCATACAACCGCTGAACAAGAGACGTTCTTTGCTGTATGTTGCTAATCATCGACTGTTTGAATCCACGTGATTCAAGTGGCGTCTGGAGACAGTCTCCTACTCCCTAGTGTTCTGAAACTTTAATCTCATCAACTCTTTGTTCTCTGCCAGACCTTCTGATCGCCTTACTTTTGATCATTGTAAAGCACCTACATGAAAACCACCCACTGACTACTAGTCTATTTACATCCTGTCCCCTTGCTGCATTCTGACCATCCCTGAACCCTGCCAATGTTCCAAGTCAGCTTTTGTTCCCAGATCCCCGTTTTGCAGCTGTAAGATGACTGTACACTGTAATACTGATAAAAATAACCCACCATGGCCAACTATGGAACAGGACTGAGTGATTCCTTCGACAGCAGCCTTTGGTAAACAGCACATGCTGTGCCACAATAACCACAGGACATAGCTGCCCATATGGCACACGTATGAATGCAGTTACTTACCGGTGGACTGTGTATGGACTGGCATCAGAGGATACGGAGTCGTCAATCATTTTGCCCTCGAATAGCCAGTGGGAGCCCTTGATGGGAAGGCTGGACTCGGTCAAGTTGCAGCTGAGCACAGCAGAGGTTTGGTTGCTGACCTCTTGAGGGTCGGCAACGATGTTTGGACCTTAACGTAAAAAGAGGTGGGAATACAAATTATTATCTTTTAACAAAGAGGTAAGCTATATTTAAACACTTTTGCAGGTTTGTATGTCAAATCCATTATTACTGGATGTAATTTTGTAGTTTCATTTACATCCTGTTCCAACACTCAACAGCTGTCTTTTGAAAAAAGAATATTTTGACAAAATGACACGTCAAAGGGCATACCATGCACCATGACAACTTTACACTCACTGACGTGCAACACAATTTACAATTACGTAAAAGTGAAGTACAACAAGGGATCACTGCATGAATATCATCATTTCCTAGTTAGTTGTTATACTCTTACTATTGCCTGGAGTAAATACAGGTTAGGACTTTGCTTTTTGCTGAAGCAGTTGCTGAGTGTTGGCTCGTCAGGTAGAAATCTAAATAATACAAACCAGTCTTTAACATGTTCCATCAACTTACAAAGTTTGAGAAGGAAACAAAAAAAATCTGCTTCACAAACTTCACCAAAAACACAATGTGACATGACCACAAGTTCTGTACAAATGTACAGAACTTTCCAAGAAAGGCGGAGAGAGCTCCCCAGAATGGGGAGGTCTGCCACACCAACAGTAGAATGGGAGGAAGAAGAGGAGTTGTACTGGGAAGGTAATATATACAGTAACTACCAAAGGTTGTGGGGAAAAGATCCTTTAATACATGCAGAAGAAGCAACAAAAGGCAGATCAAATTAATTGGCAGTTCCTCTGCCAATCACATGATTAGAGGAAATACTAAAGCATTTTAAGTAAAAAGTTTTGCTTCAATTGAGTGTAGAAACTGACCAATTCTTGTAAACATAATACTGGGCCACAAGGCAGAAAGATGCCCCATGGCTGATCATTTATCTTTAAAAGTGAGTTGCCATCTTCTGTGCCTACAGTTCGGTAGGCTATTAGCCACTGGAATGGTCTACAAGCATCAACAAAAGGGGCATTGTCAGTGTTAGTATTAATTAAGGAAAACGCTAGCAATATAAATATCTACCAAGAAGCAACACTAATCAAGTAATCTGACACCCCTTTTTGTCTTTCTTAGACTCCAATTAGTCAAATTGATTAAATATTATATATTGTTCAAATACAAAAATGTTTCTGCAGGAGCCATTTGCAAATTTCCAACCTTATGACCAGTATTATATGCAAGAACACCTATCATAAGAGTATCTAACCATTGAAACAAAGGAGAAAAAAAAAGGCATCAGATTGAAGACATATTCTGTGTTGGGTAATACAGGATTAGGGAGCAGCCCAGCCATGCTTCATGACCGGGTTCCAATTCTACTACAGGACAACCTTGGAGCTTTTGAGGAAAGAAGAGGGAGACTGTGTACTGGGTGAAGCAGGATGGAGAGGGTACTGGACCGGGAAACACGGCAGTTGGGTCTAACGTGAGCTGAATGCCAAGGACTTCACTAATGAGGAGATAACAGTCGACTGCTTCGACTGGGGTCTCCTCGTGCCTCCTCTGCCACTCACTTTCAATCACAATAATGTTTGCCTGCGAGCGGATCCACTTGATTTTTGGCGTCCTCTTCAGTTCATTGCGGTCAGGGTCGTTGGAAGCTCGGCACTCATACGTGCCCGAGTCGTCGAGGGTGAGGCTAGTGAGGTGAATGGTGCTAGTGGCGTGTGCTATATATGTAGCATTTATTTGCACACGGTCATCCCGTGCTCCATCAAACAGCTGGGTGAAGGTCTCGTTGGGCTCTTCACCCTCTACGAACCACCACTGTACCTCGGGGATGGGGTTCCCTATTACCTCACAGTGCAGCTCTGCACTGTCATCGATCAGCTTCATCTGAGACAAGGGAGACTTGGTAAAACCCGCTGGGCACCATTTACAGTCAGCCCAGCACACAGAGGTTTCAAGAAATTTTGAATGTGGTGGTTTCAAGCAAACAGGGTGATTTCATGGATTGATGAATAAATGCAATGATGGAAAAAGAAAAGACAAGCAAATAGGAAAGAGAAAGAAAAAGACAGTTAATAAAACACAAATGAAATGAGAATATGAACGTAAGCACGTAGAAAAAGCACAGATCAGAGCAGCATTTTCGCCGAATTACTTTGGCTAATGTTTTGATTATTCTTGGTACTCTGACCCATTTAGATAAACATGCTAAATGCAACGTAAAAGGCAGTTAGGGATGACCCGAGCTGGTCTGAGATGTGCAGCACCACACTCAATTTCCGATTTATTATAGTCCTCTAACTAAAACTATTTACTGCACTCTTTCAGAAAAATCCTACCTTGATGAAATTAACAACCTCTTTTTTTTTTTTTTTTTTTTTTTAATTTAAACTGTTTTAGAAAAAGGTGCTGACTCAATAATCTACAGGTTGGGACTGTTAGCTTGATCAAGACATCCCTAAAGGCAGGCATAAGAAAACAAAAAACAAAAAAACAGTGACAACAACAAAACACTAAAAGCATACAATAGCATTCCCATGAAATTAAGACAGTGTGCAATGAGTGAAACAGAACATGAAGAGAAAAGCAGATGAGGTTGAGATGGAAAAAACATTTCACATTAAAAAAAAATCAAATCAAAAATGCATGAAATATGCACAGAGCCTTTTGGGTTAATAGTGTTTGTCTGTTGCGCCAAGTTCAACCAACGGTGGTCGCTGTGTTAAACTACGTCAAGTCCACACAAGCTATTTTATTTAGAAGTATTCTTCCAGTGATTTATTTGTTTTTAAAGCCTGGCCATACTAACTGTTTTCAAAAAAGTGCATATGTACGAAATGGTGACATTTAATACATTAAAATATATATATAAATTATGTAAAACCCTGCTTCTGTGTGTATGAATTACTATATCAGGAGACCTATTTTTTGGCAATGTTAGAAGATGTAAATAAGTTGAGAGTGCACTTGGATCTCAATGTGATCGGATCAACCCGACCACCTTTGGAGGCAGCTTAAGCAGTATGTACAGCATGACCACATTCTTGAAGGGAAAAAAACAATAAACCATCCACCCAGCAAGGTGAAAGGTCACTTGTCCCCACCTCTTAATGCTAACTCAAGAAAAGCTACAGGTGCAGCCCTCTGCTACAGGGGAGTAGCAGTAATGTTAGTTCAGTAAGAGCCCGCTACCGATTCCTGAGATATGGGCCACTTCATATCTGTTGTCAAGGCAGCCAGCCTATGTAAAGTGCACAGTGAGATCAAGTTGTGGACACAATTGAGAAAACAAGAGCACATTTTAATACCCAGTGTGAATGCAAGGCTGACGGATCAGGTGTCACTAATTATTATTAAACTGATCACATGTCAATACAAAGTGTAGCTGCAGATTAACCACTGAATATCCATCATTTGGTGATGGACTGACTTTTGAAAATATTTGTTCTTCTCCAGGTATCCCAGCTTTGGGTGTCCAAAGCAGGCAGAGTAGAGTTGTTTGGCCACTCCACAGGCCAGATCACGACAAGCACGTTCTCCTCCTCTCAGAAACAACACTGAGCTCACACCAAACACAACAAAACCTACTTTGGGCTGAACTAAAAAAAAGAAAAAGAAAAGAAAAACATTCTGATTTCAAACTCAAAGAAACTTTTTGTAAATTCCCTTCAAGACGATGGGTGTGATTTGTGATGGTCATGTTGAGTTTTCACTTTCCATTAAAAATCCCAACAAATTGCAATTAAACATCAAACTGAAGATGCATACATGTGAACATGTCAACAAGATCCCCAGTCTCTATGTGTATATCGTGTAACATTCCCAGCTTAGAATGGCTTCCCCGCCAGCACTAAAGGTCACCTTCATAGCACATGTTGCATGAAAGTTCAAAATTAAATATAGTGTAGGCTCCAGTCCCAGCTCTTGTTAATGTAAACGACATGAATCGTGTCAGCACAATTTACAGCCTTTAACCCTCTGCCCTATTACATGAGAACGTGTTCGTTGTGCTTAGAGCTCTTTCAAAAGATCAAATTTCCTACTGAGTATCTGACATTTACGTGTGGTAAACAGCAAGTGAAATGGCCTGAACAATGCAACTAGGTCAGCCTAAAAAAAAAAATCCAACAGGTTACACAGCAGGTAAGAAAGGTTAGAGAGTTTATGTGAAACAGACATGGCATGAAATTTGTAAGCCACAAAGTCCACACTATGGACATACATGCTTTATCATACTCATAGAAAGTTTGCTCTCGGTTTTCATTCAAACAGCTGGTTAAAAATTAACAAGTCAAGCAGGAATTTACTGAAAAGATCTTTTCAGAGAATGAAATTTGTAATCCACAGGGTGTTTTCAACACTTGTGCAAAAAGTATAAGAACACGGTCACGCTGAACAGGACAGGCTACTACAATGTACCGTGCTTCCCGATAGAAGATGGATGCAAATCGCTTCGGCTCGATGAAAGACGCGACAAACTGGGAAACAATCACACTGATGTTTAAAAAGCCCATTTCAAGCTTTCATGTCAGCCACGTATTATCCAGTCAAGGTCACTGTATGGAAGTAAACAACTGACGGGGGAAGCTCTTGTCTCTTTCAGCCCACATAAACCCATTAGATGTTAAATTATCTAAATCAACTAAGTTTCTATGTCTATATATGTAGCGTGCACCGATCAACAAGCCCACTTTGTTCCATCATTTGACTATGGTAGACTAGCACAGATTCGTCACTGCTATTAAAAGGATGTCAACTCTTACAGATAAAAAAAAAAAAAAACTGCCATCGTCAATGCTACTGCTTAGAGCTGCAGGCTTTCATCATGAAAAGGATAATTTAAGTGAAAGCAGGTTAAGCAGCTGGAGTCTCAAAATGGTGGCCAATAACAAAATGAGTCCGTATTCACCACCATTTGCCAAATTACTTGAACTGAACAACCAGTACCCAATATGTGGGGGGGGGGGGGAAATGGCTCTGTTTGCTTTTAGGAGCCTCTTTTCGCACACAGAGCAGCCTTATCTACCTGTCTGCGTCGTAACCCACTTTCCATGTCATAGTTAAAGCTGGAGAAGAAGCTGAAACTCTAGGGAAATCTAATTTTACCCCTGATCTACTCTACAGTAACTACTACCAAAAGCAGGAAACAACAAGTGGCATTAGAGCTGCTTATGTACGTTTGGATACAGTGCACACAACATTCATAAGCAGTGTGATTACTGGTAGCTACTCTCTGTAAAATCATTGCTAGAATTCAGCTTTTAGGAAACCAAGCAACATAAACTGAAGTCCGTATTTGCATAAGCAGTGCATGTACTTTCCCATGTCTCTTAACGGAAGGGGAAATGACCCAGCTTCGATGTGTGTCGGAAAAAAAAAAACAGGGTGACCAACATTATTGATCAAATATTACTGCAATGTTGAAAGCTGTTGGGCTGCCCTACAGGAATTCGGCACAAGGCTCAAAACATGTTGTACTGTGACTGCTAATATATGCAAAACTGACTGACTCTCCTGATCAGAAAACATTTAGTCAGACCTACAATCACTAGACCAAGCTGATAATGTGACAGTTAAATGCTGTAACACCGGCATGTTAAAGGCTGTAATGACAGACTAGCCAAAGATATACGATTATTTTGCCATTTGGGCGGTTTTGGTAGATATGAACAGGGTAATATAAAACAATCATTAACCTAACGTTAACTACTAATGACAATCAACCATTTTAAATGTTACGCAAGTGTGAGTTCACACAGTGCGTGACTACAATCGCTCCGGGACCACCGTAGGCTGTAAATTAACAGTAGGCATCACGTGCTTCATTACATTTGCTGGCGAAAATTAAAACTGAAAACCGCTCAGGAGGTTCCGAAAAACAAAAAAAAAAATAGTTAATCCCATTTAACTGCCGTCGCGAAACAGTCGGACGGGATTTCTTGGCCGCAAATTAGCAAAAATGTTTCGCTAACAACAATGCTACGCCTAATTCAGCTAGCACTATCGGCAACACGGGCCTCTATCCTTCTTGCTAACCGTCGTTAATGTAGAACAGCAGGTCCAAGACTCGGCACTCGACGTCGAAGAACCATAAAATGTCATAATGCCAACAGCAACAGGACGCCCCGAACAAAACATTATGTTAATGTTCGCAGTGAGGGCAAAGTCTACATCTTCGACCAACATGGCTGACACAAAATTGTTACCTGCGGACGCGTCGGCTCGCCAACAGCTCAGCAGAAGGGCACTGACAGCCCACAGCAACTTCATGGTCGATGCGAGATCGTCGAAATCAACGCAATGGCAGCTCGGCTCGGCCGAATCTTCTCGCTCTTCTTTCCGTGCGGCACTTCCAGCGGGGATGTAGGAGCTCGATGTTCCGACACAGTGCGGTCGGAGCTGCTCGTCCTCTAGTTGCACCACACGCACACGCCCTGATCGGCACGTACGCGTGACGTATTTGTTTAGGGGCGTGGCCACGTCAAACAACTCAGTGTTGTTTTTGAACAGATTTAACACATATATTCCACTTTAAGCCTTTAAAACTCATTCAGTGATCATATTCTTATGTGCTTTGGTAAAACATAAGTTCTCAACAGCTCTACGTAAACAATCAAAGTTTGCTCCCACAAAACTTAAAAACAAAACTGTCTTTACAGCTCCTCCAGATCAATTAGTAAATTATAACACGGTCAATAACATTTTTGACAGCAATAAGAGAAATGTGGGTACATTATCCTCCATGTCATACCTGTACATTTGTATATTCATCATGTCATATCTGTACTTACCCAAATTCATCATGCCTTTTACATGATCTTTATTTTTGTCCTGCTTCTATTATGCTTCATCTATATCTCGCTGCTGTTACTTGTAAATTACCCCAGGTTCAATAACAGTTATCTTATCTTAATCCATCCAGCCATTATCTATACACCGCTTAATCCTCATTAGGGTCGTGGGGGGGCTGGAGCCTATTCCAGTTGATTTAGGGTGAAGGCAGGTTACACCCTGGACAGGTCACCAGTCTATCACAGGGCTACACTTAGAGACAGACAACCAAGCACACTCACATTCACACCTACAGACAATTTAGAATCACCAATTAACCTCAACATGTTTTTGGACTGTGTGGGAGGAAGCTGGAGAACCCAGAGAGAACCCACGTGCCATAACTGCAAGCATTGTTTTTTAATTTTTCTATTCTATCCTTATTTTAGCTCACTTATTTTAGAAATATAAAGTATAAATATATATATAAAGTCATGTATTGTACTTCCATCTTTTGCTTTTCTACTTTTTAGGCACTGCATTTCTTATGTCATTTTGTTTTTTCCTGAGCAATATCTGCCTTTTTTCTTTTTCGTCTCATCTCAATGGAGCGGTTCATTTTATCCAACTCCAACGAAAGTACTACAAGTGTTTTAAATGTGCTTTTAAGATACTAGCGTCATATTTTATTATATCTTGTTGTTGCTTACAGGGGTTTTGTACAGAATGTCCTTAACCTGAATATTTTCCAAAACATTTTTTAAAACAAACTGGCAAATCAGAAGCAAGAATATAATGAAAAAATAATGAACATTCGGGTCACACCTTTCAGATAATAAACAGAAAAACAAAACAAATATTGCACATTTAGGCTTAATGGGTTCCTCAGCCGGTGTCTGAGAGCATATATCGAGCCATTGTATGCAGGGAAATGTTTGCAGTATGAACACACTGAATAGTTGAGATTCCTCCCCTTGGACTGCAAGAACTTGAAATGCTTGGAGCTTGTAAGAGTGTGGGCTCAGTCTTTAGCAATCGGAGACAAAAACAGAAAATACAAAGCCCTTCTTAATAATGTAGAAACTCATCCCACCCTGCACACCAAACATCTCGGCTGGTTTGCAGAGAAACCGATGCGACTGAGCTTAACACCACCGCTGGACATGACAGAACAACTGAAATGCTAACACAAAAAAAAAAAAAGGTGATGCAGGAGTATGTGTAACTAAAACACAGACGACTGAAAGAAACAGTGATGAAGCACTTCTTGCAAATTTCTGTGTAGAAGTGTTGAGCAGTCAGACTAAAATTTACAGTTTGCTGGAGTATATTTAAGATTATTACTTAGATATTCCCAAAGTGCTGTGATATTAATGGTTTCCTAAAAATAAAGAATGCCGCCAACCTTTTTAATCAGTTTTTGTTGTTTCTACATGCGCTGAATTTGTTACAAGATGTTTTTTTGCAGCCTCACAAAACCTAAATCCATTACAAATTCAAACTAACACCAGAAGAAGCTGCCCATCTACATTTTCACAATCTTAAAGTGCTAACTGGTAGACATTAAACTGTAGTACCACTGATCCTATAAAAAACAAACATTAAACGAGCTCACCATACTCCAATGTATGTCATTACAAGGCACAAACACAACCACAATGTTAAGAAAAAAAACTGTATATGAATCAACAAATTCACAATGTGAAGTCAAACGTATCCATTCGTCTTCTAGCCAGACCAATGTTCTGTCCGTAACAACAATCCCCCCTCAGATTAAAGGCCTTTGAAAATGAACCCCTGAGGAGAGAAGCAGTACAATGTGGAGGAAATACACCCATATGGCTGAACAATAAAAGGAAGCAGAATTTATTGGTTCATTGATAACATTAAGCAGGAAAGCACACCGGTAACGGTTTTAACACGCACTCTGTTTACTATCTGCATGCCTGTGGCCCGGGCCTCGCTTTGAAAGTACAAAATGATCTCAAAACCTTATTATGCATTGAAAGCACGTCCAACGGTGCTCGCTAATAGGGTTATTGTTCCCAGGTTGCTGCCTGGTTTGTTCTAAGAGTCTGTGAGGCGTCGTGAAAGGAACAAATAATTTAAACCGGGAAAAGCAGAGCAGACCTGCTCACAACTTCCCTGTTGTTTGAAAAAAATGTCACCATACTAGTTTTGTTTTTTAATTGAAACAACCTCATATAAATTCTTTTTTTTTTTTGTATTAATGCACTCCCATCTGCTATCTGAATGAACAGGTAAAACATTTAAATGCTCTGCATGCACACAGAGCTTTTCCACTTTACTGTAACTCAAAGCACTTTACAATGTAAATCTAATTCTGCCTCCACTTCACCCATTCACAGAGACGCTCACATGCCAACAGCTGCTTCCATGCAAGGCGCTCGCCCGCCATCTGGAGCGACTATTAGGTTTAGTGTCTTGCCCAAGGACACTTTGGCATGTAGAGGAGCCGGGGATCAAACCATCAACCTTGTGATTAGTAGACAACCTGCTCTACCACCTGAGCCACAGCTCCCCCACAATGACTAGTAGTTTTTGAGTCCATTTCTTAAGACCCCTGCTGCTCCTTAATTATCCCTTAAAAGAACGTTATAAAAACAGACACTGGAAATGACTTCCATGAAATGAGTGATAGCACCCAAATATCTTTATTTTCATACTGGTTAATTTGTTTTTGTACATGTTCATACTGCAAATCAAGGTTTTCAACTGGCAAAATATTTAATTTATAATTAAGTTAAAAAGCACAACTGCACTGAAATGTTTCTGAGTGGATTGTATGAAAACTGGTTCCAGGTTTTAGGCTTGCAGATAAAAATGTAAATAAATCCTGATGTATGTAATTTCATGATCGACATTATTATCCAAACACAAAAATTACTGCAATTATACGCATAATTTCAAGTGCCAACGGTTTTACCTGGTGTCAGGTAATCTTAAAACGGCAAGTGGAGCTTGACAATAAAATAATTATATGAATTATTGTCGCTGCCGTTATCTTAAGAGCTAAAGGGATCAAATGTAATGTTCTTCCAAATCACGAAGAAACTTCAGTGCACACTTCACCAGTACACGACAGTGCACTTTGCGTCATCTTATCTGTGAGATATGAATGCTACTTATAAAAAAAGAAGGAATAACTGTACATTTCTTTTCTGCTCCATTGGAAAAAGTGGGTCATCTTAAACCATACAAGTCTAGAGGTTAAAAAAAAAAAAAAGAACAGCAACTGTCCTGTTGTTCATGATCTTCTACCTTTGGATTCCATTATTTTCTCCTCTTGTATGAAGCGAGTCGAGCAGATCGAGCCTCGAGAAGTTTCAATGCTTCTCCACATCCTCCCTGACAGAAGCTGCACTCCAGGCCTCCGCCCTTCCTTTGTTCAGATTCCTGATGAAGGTGGGAGCAACAGGACGGGCAGAAATACATGTAGCCCCATGTATCACTTACCCCTGAATCAGGCGTGAGTGCTCCTGGCGGGATACACTCAGGTCTCTGCCCTTCTGCAGGGAGAGAATGGAGGTCACTGCTCTGAAGTACAGCAGCCTAGGAGCTATAAACAGCTCGTAGGATGAAAAGGACAGTCGTCCTCTCTAAGAGTTATCAGTGGAGTTCTCATTGCTGGTCGAACTTGAGGACTGGGGGGTAGAGGAGGATGAAGAGGATGAGGAGGAAGAAGAAGAGGAGGTAAAGTTCATCCCTGATAGTTCTGGAGGGTTCGTTGCTGTGTTCTGTCCACTCAAGCTCTTCCTGCACACTGGACACGTGTCATGCTGGAGAAAAACACGAAGCTGTTTTAGTCCCGAGGTTTTACAGAGCAACCAGTCAATATGTTGTGTGAGTGGAAAGAGAACTGAGTAGATGGTACCTGTTCCAGCCAGGGGACTATGCAATCATTGTGGAACATGTGATTGCATGGGAGCTGCCTCACGTTTTCTCCGACGCTGTAATCTTCTTTACACACTGGACATTCCAGTCCCGAAGCTGGATGTCAAAAATAAGTGATGTTAAATGTGATTTAAAACAGATTTTTACATCGGTTTTAGATTAAAGTTTAGCCAAAAACTGACACTGTATTCTTATTTTTAAAAATCTCAATTTAACAGTTGTAACCCTCTGAACTCTAAAAGCCACTGATGTGTTTCAAAGGTATGTAAAAATTACCAAATTGACACCATTTAGGAGACACAAACTCTAAAAACTGTAAAAAAAAATTAGATTTTTGAATGTCCGACACTAATCATGTGTGACATGCAGTTCAATCAAAAATGTAACCAAATCAAAGTTTTAAATAGTGATATTGGATCAAAATCACTTAATTCTGAATGTTACATTTGAAAAACACATTTGATCTCATTAGATTTATGAAAACCAGAACATTTTACACTCCTCAGCACAACTGTGAAGCCATGTGTGACTCAGCTGCAGCCAAGTCACATGACAGAAAAAATAAGGATTATTTGGCTGACCTGGGCTGAACTGCACAATGTGTTTACACAGAACACAAGTTAAAATATAAGTAGCAAATTGTCTATAGTATGTAGAATCTTATTTTTTTTTCCTAGAATGGAGCATTTGGAAAAATGTAGATACTGATTCCAGGTTTTAGTCATTTTTGTAAAATAAATAATTTAAAAGAAATCAACTTTTATTTTTGTCTTCTTTGCAAATTTTATGGCATCATAACTGTCATACTGCACAGGACACATTCTGAGCTCTCTCTACTATTAGTCATGGCTGTACTGTTTTAATAGAGGTGCAGAACTTTCAGTAAAAAAAAAAAAAAAAGAGTGAATAAAATGTGACGGTATCAGAAACGCCCAGAAATGTCTTGGGGTTCAGGGCGGGTTAATAGCAAACAGCCACAGTAAACCCATTTGGGTTCTGCAAAATTAAAAATGAGATGGAAGTCCAACAGGTCTACTTTCAGAGATGCTTTGATGCTGCGCTACTGGTTTGACCTTCTATTAGTTATGCAGATGGGAAGTTGCACAACCAACTCTAAAAAAACTGATGTGATGAATGTGTTAAGTTATTAGGACCCAGTACAGAGGGAGTTTATGATGCAAAACATGTCTGACTATTAAATATAAGTTTTGTATTGACTGCTACATGATGGTTTTAATATGACTATAGATTTCTCCAATGGTTGATTATTAATCCACAAATAAGAAGCATCAAGAACATTTTAAGAATCCGTCACCAGAAAGTTTTCAGCACGATCATGGACCTTGCCTTTGAACCCACAGTAGCCCGTGGTAAGACGCTTCAAAATCAATAACCTTATAATTTTATAACCTGATGAAGGCTCATGAAGCCAGTTTGTCGGGCAAATGGAATTTCCATTAAATTAGATTGTAATGAAAAAAGAGGTTATAAACAGTCATTTTCAAGAAAATTACACTGCTGCCCCACTTTGAGAATAGTAGTTCATCTGATAGAAAAAAAAAGGGAAGCAGCCATAAAACATTCCATGACACCAGTGGCAGTCGTCATCTTTTAACTTACCAACATGTTCATCTGTAATTTGTACTGTAGGAAGACTTTTTATTTTATCCCTATCAGCAGGCGGAGGTCCCGTGTTCTCAAACTGGTTTAATAACTAAACATTAGAGGAGAAAATTGTTAGAAAGGAAATTAAATGAAACACATGCTGTATGCGCATTAGTGTGTGTCATGCAGACAAACACCTAAAATGTGTACATCCAATTAAAAGAACAAAAATCTCATCCGTCTGACATTAGAAAATGTCTTACCTGTGTTATAATAGCATCTAGTCCATTAGCCCCCCAAGCATAGTCCATAGGATTTGAGTGAAGAACGCCCCTTTAAAAAGAAGAGTGGTATTAGATCAAATGAAGCACATTTTGCTGTGAATTTGCTTTTCAATCTTTTACCGCTCTGCTCCACAGACTCACCAGGGACCAACACCAATATTTGGCATTGCAGTGGGTGCAATTATTCCATTCACTAGCTGCTGAATGATTCTACAAAAAAAGAACATAAAAAGTATGTAATGGTTGTGGGAGACTGTCATTTGGGCTATTAAGTTAACAATTTAAGCTCAGAGATGGTTGATAAAACAAGGACATGCAGGACTCCGGTCCAGCGAGTCATTAACTGTACTTCCTACCCCTCTAAAGTAGGAACTCCCTCATGTCGCCCTGCTTGCCGCCTTGAACCGTGACGACTTCTCGGTTGCCTGGCGCCATATCGTTGCCGTGATGCCGTTTCCCTTTCCCGACGGTTCTCTGCGTCCCGGTTGTCCTCTGTTCCCAGTCCAGCCCCGAAGTCGAAGCTGTCATCGAAGACACCCAGGGCGAACTGACCATAGCCCGACGGGAATGTAAACAAGTGCTGGTCTGCATTCTGGAAGACAAAATACATCAAAGCAAACAGACTGAGAAACTGGCGGTAAAATAGAAAGCAGTGACACTTTGTGATTTCTCTACTTAACTTGAACTATTTACAGTTAAAACAACACTACGGGAACGTTCAAGAGCCGTGTTGACTATCAGGTCAAATTTCATCCCAGTGGAAAAATCACAGAACGCCTGCTGACATACGTGTGTGTAGATTCTCAGTCATCCAGGTCGCGGTAATCCTAGAAGCTTCAGTAAAAAGCAACTGGACTTCTCTTCTAGGAGATGTTTCACCTCTAATCCAAGAGGCTTCTTCAATTCTCAGTTCTCAGAACTAAAGAGGCCTCTTGGATGAGAGGTGAAACACCTGCTGACACACAAACTTTCCTCGATTACTGAGGAAACAGTATCATTACAGTCCCAGTGTGTTTCAGTCGACGTGTTCCCACAGAGGTTACATAAACTACCAATCAAGTTAAAAACAGCACCTATTTGACTGGGCAAAGCTAAAACAGCCCAATCATTCAAAATAATATCACTGTACAGAGCAGTTGCAAAAGCAGAAGTGGAAACCTATGATAACTTACACCACGTCTCGTACCGGATCAGCACAAACGTCAATGGAAGCAGTTTTAAGAAATGCTGACTCTATTATGCAACAGTGTTCATAAAGGAGTGAGAGTGGTGTAGAGAAAGGTTATGTGATCGAGATAAAGTCTAAGCAAAGAACGGCTTACAAACCTCAAATGGTTGCTGGTTCTGGGGCCCGCTGGAGATAGTAGACATGGAGCCATTGTCAGCACTAAACAGTGGACAAAGTTACAGTAAATACATTTTACTTCACTACGTCTCATAGATTTCATATTTTCAAACATTTACGATACAATGGTTTTCTGCTATTTCTTCTCCAGAACTCCTCTACTTTCTGACTTCACATGTGAAACACAGCAGCTGTGGTCTCAGTTGTAAAGCTTTTTTTTTTTTACCATGATCAGATGATAACAAATGAAAATGCAGCATCAAGCTGACCCAATAAAGGCAGAAGCCCATGTTAATACTGTTGGGTAGCACCCAGTGTTAACTTTAGTTTTTTTTTGTTTTTGTTTGTTTTTTATGCCCACTCTAAATGAAAAATGGAGATTCTGCCATACACAGCTTTAAGATTGCATCTATTAGCACGAGCAACAAAATTTAAGAGAACAACAAGTGAGATCCACAATCTCTTTGAGACTCAAATCAAATGTAGATGTTGAAAAGCTGACACATGTAGATTTAGAGTACAGGGCAAAGACTCAAACTCCCATTGATATTCTTTAAAGCTGCAGGTGTACAGAAGGGATTTACAGCTTAAATGCCAGCGACTGTAGGTTGGAGAAACATTATAAGGAATAACGGCTGAACATATGAAGTGAAAAACCACAACTGTCACCATCCTCATCTAATGGGGGAAGAATCTTCAAACTGATTCTCCAATAAATACAGTCACAAATTGGGGAAAAAAATACTACCTTCGATGTAGTAAAGTAAACATAATATACATTTTATACACACCTCCTCTCTTCCAGCAGCTCCTCGATGAACCCTGACTCACATCTTGGACACGTATACTCCTGAAGAGACATTAGCAGAAACCAAAACATAACATTCAGTCTTTACTGTGAATTAGAGACAGAAAGAGCTCATTAGAGTGTCACTGTGTGGCAAATGTAAACTGTAACTCGCTGATTAAACCTAAAATAGAGCAATCGCTGAATTAATACAAATCGTTTTAGTTCACAAATCTGACAGGCGACTGTCGAGCTAAAGATGAAAGAGACAACTTAAAGCCATGAGCAAAGAAGAAGCACCAAATTGTCTCTCTTTGAGATGCAACAGATTTGGTGGATTGTCAATATTTTGGACAAGAAGGTCAGCAGAGGATGTACTTCCCCCTGTCCTCAACACCTTCTATTGAGATAACACTGAGACATTAGTTCAATCAAACCTGCACATTATGAATATTTCATACATGAAAAAGACTGTATAATATCAATACTTTCTACATGCAAAACAATATCAGTAGTTTCCACATATCGAATAACAATGTTGATCTTTTCCACATTTAGATGAATCTGTCTTTGTTCCTCCATCAATCCTGCATTTCTCCACTATCGTCTGCTGCTGTGACAGTGTGAGCTTGCCCTCTTTAGAACAAAAGGATTATCTTATCTTGTTCGACTAGCTGTGCCATTACAGAAAGCATACTTCAAATGTGTGTAACCCTATCTGACCCTATCAGCAAATCCTTAGGCAGGCTGAAAGGGTCAGAAATTACCCCAAGAGTGCTAATGCTGTACGGACTGCATTCACACCAGGCTAAGATCTGGTCACAATGGCCAACAAATGGTGTCTGGCTGATTTATTGATTGCATTCCAATACATGCACTTATACCAGGCCTTCAGATGTAAGGAAAACCTGCGATGTGCAACAACAGTGTTCCATCCTGCAGTCATAATCTGACTTCCTATAAATAAACCAATAAAAAGTGTATTAACTATACAGTTTGTATCTGCTTGAATAGGCACGGTGCTAATTTAAACCACAAACATTGAATAGCATATGGCTAATAGACAAAATTGGCAGACGCAAAGAAAATAAATGAATTACTTTGAACTGCACACGAATACCCAACCAAACAGATTGTCATTTCAAGTTTCATTTAATTGGTTGAATGGTGTGAAACCATTGTGTCCAGGGTGCCAACTGATGGGCCAATGTTCATGAGCAGACTATGAATGTCAGGCAGTCTTTTGCCATGAGTTAATTAAGCATGTTCATATTGTGATAATAATGAAGATACAATTTGTTATACAGCGATAAATTTGACCGAGGTAATGCTGTTTAGAACGCGTTCATGTCAGGCTGAGATTTGACCACAATGCGAGCTTGACCACCTGCAAATGCGGTCCAGCTGATCTGATTACATTCCAGCATTGATGCATGGATTTACATTATAAAAGGTACAAATCACATGTTGGTGGAGTTCACTGGGTCTTAGGGTCTTTATTCCTCCTCTCAGGACAGAAATGTTACCATGAAGTCTCTGGCATCCAAAGCGATACTTGCAAACCTTAACAGAGTAGCTGACCCTGTGCTAAACACCTTATAGCAAACCAGCATTTAAGCCAACTCAAAACCACACTTAAACTTGTCACCATAAATAAATGTAACACCTTCTGCTAGAGCTGCACGATATATTATTTCAGCATCAACACTGCGATGTGTGCATGTGCGGTAGTCACATTGCAGGAAGTGCAAAGAGAAAGAAGTCACACATTATTTTTTTTGTTGTTGTTGTTTGTTGCAAAATCAAAACTTGCACAGTTCTCATTTTCTATGACCGGTCTACAAGAAAAGTCTTTGTGACAGAACATAATGTACTGATTTCAGGGTTCTTGGTCACGCTGATTGTTTTCTGGATTTTTTTTTTTCAACTTTATTTACAAGATGAAGAGTCTGTTGACATACAGGCTCCACATATGCACAATGAAAAGGAAGGTTTGGCTGCAAAAAGAAGCACAACATCAGTTGTATGGAAATATTTTTGGCTAAACAAAGGATGGTGTAGACCAAAAACAGGAACTCTGCAGCATCTTGAAAATTGTCACTTCATGAGGAAACATGACTAATTTATTCGGCCACTTAAAATCAGAGTTACAAAGCACTGTACGATGAATGCAAACCTAAAGCAAAAAAAAACATTTTGGATACCTTTACCAGTATCACACAATGTAGGAAAGAGTCCAAACAGCAAAAATAAATACATCCAAATTTAAATGAAGATGCACTCTCCTACAAAGTCTCCCCAATTACTCTAAAATAATAAGTTCCTTCCAAATTGAGATATTTAAATCATCTATAGTCCTATATATTCTGATATCACAATATATGTCAAAGAATGTGAACTATAAGTGTCTGCTTTACTTTCCACAATAAAATAAAATAATCTTTGTTGTGCTGCATCTGCTGTCATTTTGTTTTTTTGTGTTTTTATACCCTAACCCTGATTTCCACAATATGTCATTTTATTGTACATTTTTAGAGTTGAAATGACAAGTGAATACTAACGGGCTATTCTAAACAATGAACCAGCAGTTGTATGAGCTGTTAATGTGACCACCAGTCATTGCCAGCAACCTACAGAAACAATCTACAGACGGCTGATGTTTGACATTGTAAAGAGCACATTTACTGTTCTGTGACGGATCATTCTAGCTTGTGACAGACATGCCACTTATGTGTTTCACTGAATGGCAAAACAAGAACAAGGACGCAGTGGCATTGTTGCCGCTGGATCATTCACATAATCGATTACCAATCTGGCACAGGCAGTCTTAAGATAGACTCGTGTCAGAAGAAAAAAGAGAAGAGAGAAAAAAAATCGACGTTTAAACGCGATGGCAGCGTTAACATTACAATTTACCATCGGTGCTAGTCAATACAGCTAACGATGGGCTAACACGCATAGAAAAAAACACAACATGAGAATTCGCTATACGTCACTAAACATTATATACGTAAAGCCGCAGTGTCCCGTGTGTAGTGACTACGCAGTTAGTGTGTGTATGTTGACAGATCCTCTGTTTAGATAACGAGCTAACTGGTTAGCGTTAGCAAGATAAACGGGAGCTAGCTAATACTGTTAGCATGCTAACTGTTGTCCCGCTGCTACAAGCGATATCTGCTGAGCAAACACCAACGCCGCTGAGTTGTTTTGTTGTCCAGCTGTCTATATCTGTAATTTCTGTCTGCGGTACTTACGGGAAGCCGAGGGCTAATCTCTGCGGAGCACCTGTGACAGAAGAACCGGCTGGGCCATGGAGGAGCTTCAGCCATCTTTAGCCACTAAACAGACAGGCGGAGAGGAGGAGGAAGGACTACGGAGCACCGAGAGGGACAATGTTGACCCACTGGAACATACGACGACCATGTGATTTGAAATGACTGCATTACATCACACACGCTGCATATATAAATGCGTTTTATAAATAAAAATACTGTCAGCCTAAACATCCAGAAAATACGTATTTTTTTTCTGCATTTAACAGAATTTCTGTGACTGTGAATTGTACTATAGATTTATTGGAATAAATGCATTTTATTCAATATAAACAAATGAATTCAAACATCAAAACTCACACATGCACAAAAAAATACTAAATAATCAATATCTCTAAATCCTATATTCACAAACGTGAATTACTAAATATTGCCACATGGTGGTGCTTTTGTGTATCAAGTGTTGAGTTACTGTATTTCACATTGTAGTCAGTGGCTGAAAATACAACACACCCCTCGAAAGGTTTGTTTCCCTTTTTCCTATAGGATCAGTGAGGCTATCATATGCTGCAGAATCTTGCTTAATATTTCACTATTTCACACTCACATGCCAATGCAGAAACAGGAACAGAGGAATGGTTAGTGTAATACGCCCCCCCAACAAACCGGTATCATGCACCACCACACTGTGTCTCCACTGAACTCCTGTTGTCCCTGCAGGTTCACGGTAACCCCTCGCTCCCCCTCCTCACATGAAAACCAGAGATGTGTTTTTGCAATCTGGCATCACACTTGATTTATTTTGACACATGTTACTTTTCCATTGGATTCCTGTCAACCACCTTATGAGCCCAACAGGCATACTTGAATTGTTCATAAGTTGCGCAGCATCTGTTTTTTAAAAACACGTCTCTTTAATGGCGGATTTGTATTTTGTCCTTGATTATCTGACAGCTTTTCCAGGAAGCATTTTATTAAGTGTCAGTCCTCAGACACAAAACAGTAAAGAAGTAACGTTTCACACGGTGTCTTGTTTTACATGAACACAACCAAATTCTCGCTGGCGTCTATCTGTTGGCCCTGAGATAGCAGTGAAGGTCTCAGAAGTGACTTAGTTACATAAGATCTGGAGGACAAAATTACAGATTTTTATTTTGTTTTCAGGTCTGTCAAACTGTCAAATAAAATTTCAGCTATATATATTTTTTTCACAGGTATCCTAAATGTGATCACTCTTGCGGCAGACTGCTGGCTATAAACATGCCACTCATGTCTGGAGTATATTGTGTGCTTGGCAGGACATGTTGAGAGTAAGTAGGAGTTCCCATCCGACCGCCCGTCAGCCAATCGTGGCTCTCAAGCATTCTGGCCTGATTTTTACGTGAAAACATTTGGTTTCATGCTCTTGAGGACAGTAGCCCTGGATGCTACCAGCTGGATAGATGTGTTATGGTTGTTTTTGCATGAAAAATACTGGATGGATTCAGTGTGTATTTACGCATGCAGAAAAAAAAACTTTTCTGTTATGCATTCAGTAAGCCAACTGCAAAATGTTAGAGAAACAATATCTGCATTTTCAACACAGAATGCAAAACATAGTCATTAATCATGATGAAAAGACTGCATGTTTCAATACAGTAGAGCTCACACTGTAACCCAGTTAGGTCCTAATGTGCTTTCTAGGTCGGTGTTGTGTCTGATCCGGTGATGTGGGAGCTGGAAAGACTCGGCTGTCCCATGGACCGAGATTAGAGAGGGTCTGATAGCACCGAGGTTTGCTATGTCTGCCTGGCTGAGGTAAGCCATTGTCTCCCTGCACCCAGTGCGTCACAGCCATTGCAGTCGAATGCTCATTGTAGCAATGCAATCTGGGGAGTGAGTGACTGTGGGTCAGAGTGAGGTCATGTGAGCAGCAGAAAACAACTCTTGCCAGACTGAGAGGCCTCCCATATCATGTAGTTTTAGGTCAGTCAAAAAGCTGGATTGGAGATATTCACACCAAAAATGTTTCCTTCTGCAGGTAAACTGCTCTTCTTATGAGGAAGTATAGATGTATTTCTTGCTGTAATGTGGATTAAAACACTGTATTTTAGAAGACTGCAAGATTTGAAAGTGTACCAGCACTGCAATAGAGTAGCTTTTTGTATGCATGTGCATGTATGTGCACATACATTCAAACCAAGTGACTTATTTAACACATCTTTCGTCGTTTTCCTGACCTACTTTTTGTGGTTTAATTTCTCTTACATTGTAAAAGCAGTAGAGCGTTGGAGCCAAGGCAGCAGACAGATATGCTGCAAGGGACACTGCTGCTTTTGTCACTCCATAGAGTTTTTCCAGACACTCCAGCCAGGATTGCCCCACACTGTCCCTGTGGGCCCCCGAATCAGACTCGCATACACGCACAAACACACACACGCAGACACGCACATCCACACAATCAGCAATAACAGCCGCCTGCTGGAACTTCCTGGGCCTCTTAGTCATGCGTCACTTGTTTTCAGTCCCACCCATCGAAGACTCTCGCTTCGTCCAGACACACTCTGTCTGAGGCCATGTGTCACAAGACCTGTGCATCAGGCGCGCACGCACACACACACACACACACACACACACACACTGCAAGATCCCTGAACAAACAGCAAGAAGGCAGTGATGGTCAAAGCTGTCTCTAACAAAATAAACCCAGCACATCCATGAACATGCATATACTCATATCTGGATCACAGCAGGTATCCCTTCTGTTCTGTGCAGTGTTTTTCCACTCTACTTGTGTTCCAGAACAAAATCCCATGATACAGCATTGGTACATAAGTGTTTGGGATTACATCACTGAGCAGCTAACAAAATATAGATGTTGCTAGAGGAACATATGTGTACAATTAACAATTTAGGGTTCAACCAACTGTGTTGTAGTGGGGTGTTTGTGGTTACTCACTGCAGATGTTTCAGCAGAGTTTAACTTTATCTGCTTTTATTGTTTCATTAGATTGCGGTAACCTGATCTGATCATTACCATTTTTTTTTTTTTTTGCACATTTCATTCTTTCAGTGTGTCTCTGTGTTTACTTCAGTGCTACAGTGCAATTTGTTTTTATTGCTAAACATGTTTCAGCAATGCTAATGGTGTGGAACAGGAATAGCAAAGTGCACCACTTTGATCCAGACTGAAACATCCTGACAGCTATTAAATTGGCTCAAAAAAAACTATCAGATGGATTGCCATAAAATGTGATTTCCTACAGACATACATGTTCCACCGGGAATAGCTTTAAAAACTTTGGTGATCCCTAAAATTACGTCCCATTCCGACGTCATGTCAAAATAGAATTGAGAAGTCAGAGGAGCTATTTTGGGCGCTCTTAGTTCTGAAAATAAAATTCCCATTCATCACTCTTGTGTTTTTCCACATGGATGTATTAAAAGATCTTCTCCCTAATACGTCTATGAATTTTTTTTTCTCCCAATATGAATGTGAAATGTAGGATGACTCACACTTGGAGCGCTTCTGGTGCGTTGGAGGAACATAAAACTCTCTCGGTTAAATCATCAGTTCCTGGTTAACTATTGCGTTTAAACATATCTGGTTCTTTGATTAAAAAAGATGAAGGCTGTCTGTGCTGCCATAATAAAAACTGTTTCATGGGTTGTGTACTATATTGACCCATCCGATATGTCGAAATGACAGACAAAGCATGGTTTCCCAGAAACAAAGCTGAAATGATTCTAATGAAATGATTAAAAAGGGTTGCTACAACATCAAAGTATGTAGTTGTTGCATTATCTGGGGGAGTCCAGTGTTTCTATGAAAATCTATCTCTGGGATGACAGAATTGGGAAAAAACGCTACTGGATCTGGTGGCTTTTTTCATTTTCCAAGTCTTATGTAAATTTCTGATCAAATGCGTTACAAAATAATAACATTCCACTTAACATTTATAGCACCTTTGGCATAGTATTGTCTTAATTAGCCACTGAATATTATACATGCTAAACATTAGCATGCCAGTTTTGTCGTTGAGCGTAGTTCCATGTTAACCTTAGCATTTAGCTTAAAGCACTGCTTAGACTAGACTTGTTAAACAGTTTACACTCACTGATGCCATTCTGAAATCTTCAGAATGGCCTAAGGCTTGCATGTGGTAATTTATAATAAGTATAGTCTAACTAACCATTACTCACAGAACAAAATGATGCACTCGAGGGTGCATCATCGCCCCACTTGAGGGTAGAAAATTCCCCACTTGAGCTTTGGTTTTGACGTGCGGTGTGTTCTTGGTAAATGTGTGTCTGTTTGCATGTATGCCGGTGTGGTTATCCAGTACAAAGTCCAGAGTTATTGGAATATTTTGCACATGCAGCATGTGTGAGTTAGCAAATATTTGCTCACACAAATGTCTCATATTAACAGAAGTCCACACTGTGCAACGCTCCCAGATCCATACATGAGGTCAGTTAATGTAAAACTGACCCTCTTTCTGTGTCTGTAGGAAGAGGCACCACGAGGGCCGTCGATGTTTACTTGTGTTTACACTGTTCTAGTTTGACCAGTGCAGCACATCTTCTGACAGATGACTGAATTAGCTCGTAGCTATTGTAGCTGTTCGTCCAAAAGACTCTGTTGATAATGAACAGGCAAATAAATCAAACGAAATCTGAGCCAGAGCAACTTTTCCACGCTCATCTTTGCTGAATTTGCGAAACGCATGACAGCAAATTAAATGCCTGAGCAATTTTCCACAACGACCAACCAACTTTCCATTATAAACAAGTATGTATCTGGCCAAGGCTCATAAAAAAGAAGGTATTCTTCTATGCGAGAGCCACCTGAAAAGCTGATGTGAAATTATGGTCACGGTCTGGTGATTTTCCAAGCCTCAAACTGCACAATTGGTCTCAATTTGAGTCAGGTTTGGGAGCTATGTGCAGCCCAATTATCACACTTCATGGACTTCCTTCGTATTATGCAACTTGATATTTCAAACCAGAGTTAATTCAATGACCTTGTGGCTGCCAAGGCAGAGAGGCAATAACCTCATATTGTCCCAGGCACACGTTTCCAAACACTTGAAACCCCCCCATGAGGTGATTTTA